CTTCAATTCCGATGAGATAGAGAACAACACTCCTAAATCACTCTTGTGTTTATGTGTGTGCTCTGAAAAATAAAATCAGAAAAATCAAATTGATTTTCTGAATGAATAAAAAATATCTCTCAAAAGGCTCTTTCAAATATCTGAAATTTTATATGCAAAAGCCGTGTCTAAACCAATGTGTATGACAAGGTTTATATAGAGTTTAGAAAGTCCTAATCCCTCAGAAAATATGATAAAATTCGTGCATAGGATTTGGAAGGAAGTTGGGATTAAAAAGGAAACATTCAGAAGAAGGAAACTGAAGTTAGAATAGTACCAGGACTTCTTGAACCGATTCAAGATGGACAGACTCTAAAATCGCCACTCTGGTGAAGTTGAACTTGTTCGATAAATCTTGAACCAGTTCAAGTTAAACCTGTTTGATTATTCTTGAACCAATTTAAGATAGATAGAATGTAAAATCTTGTTCCGAACAAAACGGAAAGTGTAGAATGTGTCCAACCTTTTTTAGAATCCTTCCTAATGTGTTGTTCTTACCTTCTTTAAAAAAAAATCTCAATTATGGTAACTTTGAACAACCTTTCCTTTCCGCAATCCCTGTCGATCCAGATATAGTAACTTGAATTTACAACTGACTAGGACTTATTTTGACACCGAAAGTTGCCAATAACAGAATATATATATTTTACAATCTTCCCAAAATATATATCTTATAATCTCCCCCTTTGGCAATTTCATGACAAAACCCTAAAAACAACATGTAATCTACCCAAACAGAAAAAGCAAATTACAATGATTGTCAAAGAAATAAAACGAAACTCTTCTTGAACATCATGAAGCTTCAATACATGTAACAACTTGTAATCTGCACATTAGCTCAACAAAACTACCCGTGAAGCTTAATCAAGAAAGATAAACAATCAACATATATCAATATGTGAATATCAATGTATATGTATCTTCCTCTCAATTCTATAAACTCTCCCCCTCAATTATGCATAGGTACGAGTGGTGCCACCGCACATCGCCCCTTAATTTGGAGTGCCCCAAATTTTTTTGTAAGCCTATATATATAGTATATATATTATGAAAAAAAAAATTATTTATAAAATGAATTACAGTTCAGTTGGTGAAGGCTCATGTAAATACAGCTCATTTGTAACCTTTTTATTCTTTATTTTTTTATTATAAACTTAGGCTCAATCTAAGTGGAGAAGAATATAGCCTAATTTCTTTTTAGTGCAGCTCATACAGTTCAATCAAGCTAGCCCTTTTTTAACTAAATTTATTTTTATTTTTATAAACTTAAGCCCAATCTAAGTGGAGGAGAATATAATATAATACTTGTCTCGTCGTCTGTTTTTTTTATTTATAAAAGGTCGCGTAATAGTTTCAATTCTTCAAATAAAAAAGAGGATAAAATGCAAAAAAAAAAAAAAAAAAAAAAAAAAAAAAAAAAAAAAAAAAAAAACCCTGAACTATGGGGGTTTTGCAACTAACCCCCCGGAACTACAAGAAACCTTCCTGAACTTTCAATTTGTTACAATTTGCCCACTCAGGCCACCGAAAAAGAAAAAAGATGGATTTGCCCTTCCAATAAAACGACATAGTTTGCTTATAATCTCAATTTCACTTATTGACGTGGCAAACAACATCTAACCAACCAACAGGATTGCCACAAGAGATAAGGATTGCCACACAACAACCAAACCCTAACCCACCTTCCTTTATTCAAGGCAAACACAAAGAGCAGAAAAGGAAGCCACTTTGACGCCGCTTTGAACACTTCGATCATGGTGATGCACAACTTTGAACACTTCGATTGCGATGAAGCTCTCAATGCTTAGAGCTCGCCGGTATGAGCTGTGTAGCCGACGCTTTGAGCTCGCTAGTGTAAACCAAATCCATAAATTCATCACTTACATACAAAGAACGATAAACCTAGACCCCCCACCAACCTATCATCACCACCAAACAAAGCCCTTTTTGTCCAAATCTTCAAGCCCAACAACTACGGACAACTCAACCATAGGACACCCAGTGAACCAGAGCAATAGTTTTGTTGAATATTTGAAATAAGAAACTCAAAATTCATTCTTTTTTTGCTAGTTATAAAAGGTGGGTATTTGTGTTTTTGTGTGTGTTGATTTTCTGGGTGGTCTTTTGTTTTTGAGCATCTTCTCTTCAATAGCTTATGAATCCAACTAAAATTAGCTTTGAGTGGGTTTAGAGAGAAAGAGAGGGTTTACCGATTCAGTAGAATGGAGGAATTATTTGATGCCAATTTAGAGAGATGGAGTAGGTTTAGAGACAGAGACCTTTGATCCATGCATATCTTGTGAATCAAACCCAGTTTTCAGCTAATCGATATCTTCGTTCGTGACGCTCTTGCTCCGTCTGCTCTGATGGCCGTAATTGCCCTTCGCTTCAGCCACGCCTACATATTCGGTGACCAAGAATTCTTGTTGCAGGCATGGATTTGATCATAGTACAAATTTCCCTCTCTAAAACTCTCACCCAGTATATTTCTCTCTTTATTGTAAGGTATATATATATATATATATGTATACTGGTGGTGATTGGAGCCTCATCCACGCCCATTGCAATCACCATCATCGCCACCACTTCCGCAATCACCATCATCGCCATTATACGCTCAAAACCTATTCTGCAATTTTTCCACCAATAATTACAGTCTCAAAATTTATAGTGTAATTTGTTTGGCCGGTAAGTTTAGTTACAGTGCCGCTGACCTTTTTGTTCATCGCCGGTAAGGTTCATTCCAAGTCACGTGTGATCACTGTTGAATCCTTGCTTCCCTGCCGTTTCGAGCTTGCCGTAAGCCTTCTTTGCTGCCTTATTGGGCATCCTCACGAGCTTGCCGACATTCTCGCCGTCACTGTGGTCGTAGGTCCATTTTTGGTGGCTCATTCATGCCGTCCTCTCCACTGTGCTTACTGGATAGTCATTTCGTCAAGCTCGCTACCATCGCCAGCCACACCCAGCTCGCGTGCTCACCGGTAAATCCTTGTACCACTGTCCTTTGTCCTCTGTCCTCGCCGGCGCCGTTTCTAGGTTCGTTGGCAGCAAAACGGGAAATGAATTTAAGGAGATGGATATGACCAACAAAAAACTACAGAGTTCTGTGATTTGGGGAAATTTGGTTAAAGCCATGTTTGAGGGTTAAGGGCACTCTTGTGATTTCATGCTTCTAAGGGCAGTATGGTCTTTTAAAATAATTCAATAAATTTTAATAGCTAATTCTCATCGGACCTTGACCGGATGGGGTGATCTGCAACTTTTTTTACATAGTTCAAGGGGTTTCTTGAATTTTTAGTAGTTCAGGGAGTTAGTTGCAGGTTTTTCCATATTTCAAGGGTTTTTTTTTGTATTTTACCCTAAAAAAAATATGGTAGATAACAAAATATGATGAGAATGATTTTTTGTTACTTTTTATTCTGGTGATTCAAGTGGCTATTAAATTTTGTGAACTCTTGTAAACTTCAATTATAAAATCTACTTTATGACATTAATTTAATTTATTTTTATTTTTATATTTTTATGTTAGAGTTAGGGCCGGACCAAGTTGAGTACACTTTCTTTTCATATCAATCTTGCTCAATAATTCCGATTTTTTTTTTTTTTTTAATATTTTTGACAAAATTAGAATAGGAAATTAATTCATGCATGTATAACAGGTTTCCAAATTTGCAATAATACCATCTCCATCAACAAAGTCACATAAGTTGTACCGATTCACAAAAGTTCAACTGATCCTGTTATTACAGAACCGGACCGCTACAATAATTTTGAGTTCCCCCCGGTTTCCAAATTTGCAATAATACCATCTCCATCAACAAAGTCACATAAGTTGTACCGATTCACAAAAGTTCAACTGATCCCTATTATTACAGAACCGGATCGTTTGAGTTCCCCCCCCCCCCCCCCCCCCCCAACAACATATGCGCCTCCCTGCGCAACCCTTTAAAACAAGTTATACATTCTAGTCAAAATGAGTCAAAAAAATAAAAGGCAAATTACACTTACCTTTTTTTATGATTTGTCATAGGCACTTCTTCTATAATTTGTAAAGTTGCCCAGACCTCCCCTAAAAATAAAACTAATCACCTCCCTTATGCTACCATCAACGAAAGTCAATCCAAAATTTTACTTATGTCATGGATTGAATAAATTAAAATTCTTATATTACCCTTCGTCCATCTCCTTTCTTTCACACACACATATGAGTGCTACACTCATATATCATAACAACTTGCTCAGACCTCCTTAAAAATAAAACTAACATACACGAGCCTCCTTTTTGTTATGGTCAACACAAGTCAATGACATATTTTATTAATATCATTGACTTAATAAATTAAAACTTTCATATTACTCTTGGTCCATCTCTTCTCTTTCACCTATATAGATGGATATTATAACTATTTACCATAACAATTTGAGGGTATTTTAATAAATTAGACAAATTTGTTAATGCATTTAATGGGGGAAGTCCGAATAACTTTTCAAATCATAAAAGAAGTTCCTATCATTATGGCAAATCATAAAAAATATTCGTGTTATTTACGCAAAAATAAAAGATGAAAATTTAATTATGTTATATATATATATTTTAAAAAATTGAATACATGTCTTAATGTACTACGTATATAGTAATAAAAGAAAAAATTCTAAAAGCAAAGGACTCGTGAAGACACGTAATAGGAAAAAACAAGAGAGTTAGCTTATGGTAGCTCCACCATCCGATTGGACAGAAGAGTACCGTCTTGATATCAGACACGTATTCACCTGGTCCCACGGGACTTTAAACCCCTATAAACAAGGATGACTAAATCATACCCATCCATTGTTTAGCTAATGACCGACCACAAAATAAATCATAGTCCGATTAGAACAATGTTTTAGCTAATGACCGACCACAAAATAAATCATAGTCCGATTAGAACAATCTAGAAGGGAGAAACCCTAGCAAACGTCCTTATAAAATCCCACCTCCTCTGTTCTCACTCTTCACACACTGCCTTTCGCTCTCGCAAACCCTAGACGACTCCTTCGTCATTCAAATCTTGTAGAGAGAAAGAGAAATAGTTTCAGAGATCGATAATGGCAGATATCGAAACGTTTGCGTTCCAGGCCGAAATCAACCAATTGTTGAGTTTGATCATCAACACATTTTACAGCAATAAAGAAATCTTTCTTCGTGAGCTCATCAGTAATGCCTCCGATGTGAGTATCCTTACTCGTTTCTCCCTCTCTTTTTTTGATTTCCTTTAGGGAATAGATTGATGCGTTGAAAAATTTGTTTTAATGCTGTGGATCTGTAACCTGTTGATTTTTGGCTTAGTTGTGGATATTTAGATCGCGATTTAGTGTTTGATTCATGTGTTATGTTTCGATCTAAACCTAAAGATTGTAAGGTGAATAGTTAGTTTGTTTACCGAGAAAACAAGAGAAAATAATGGTATACAAACAAATTAATATGCTGCGATAGTTTAGCATGCTTATTTATCGTATTGTATTTTTTGTCTTTAGATATCTGGATCTCCGAATTGCTAAGATTCATGGAATATTTCTCTGTATTTTTTTTTCACTTTAAGAAATCAGAGCGTTACTGAAGCTTAAATTATTTTGTGCGATGTTGCATCGAACTTTTATATAACGTGGAAAAAACTGAAGCAACTTGTGAATACTTGTTTTATTTTCTGTGTCCTTATTACATACGTTTTGTAATTATGTTTCCATCCATAGTTTATTATGGTGGATTATGATGATCATAGTTTTTTTTGGGGCTTCTGGACAAGAAGCCTTAACCCTGCTTAATATTTTTTTGTCCATTCCAAAAAATTGTTGTATTAATTAATCTGTTTATCTGTAGAAAATAGGGAACCCTAATTTGTTTGGATTATCTTCCACTCCTGTATTACATAGTTGAAGCATGTTTGAAAGTGACAGAAACTTGTATTTACTACTGGAATATATTATTTTTCTTCAATTTAATCTGATGGCTCTTCTTGAATATTCAAACCATTAGGCGCTTGATAAGATTCGTTTTGAGAGCTTAACGGATAAGAGCAAGCTAGATGGACAACCAGAGCTTTTCATACACATTATTCCCGACAAGACTAACAACACATTGTCCATCATTGACAGTGGAATTGGCATGACCAAGGCTGGTAAGTTGTAATATCAGTAGTGCTCATGATGTGTTGTTAGGCTTATGTACATCTGTTAACTATTTTTGTAATGTTATATAATTTGCAGATTTGGTAAACAATCTTGGGACAATTGCAAGGTCAGGGACCAAGGAGTTTATGGAAGCTCTTGCTGCTGGTGCTGATGTTAGTATGATTGGTCAGTTCGGTGTCGGATTCTATTCAGCTTACTTGGTGGCCGAGAGGGTCATTGTCACCACAAAGCACAATGATGATGAGCAGTATGTATGGGAATCACAAGCTGGCGGGTCTTTCACTGTTACCAGGGACAACTCTGGTGAGATCCTTGGAAGGGGCACGAAAATTACCCTCTTCCTCAAAGAAGACCAGCTTGAGTACCTTGAGGAGCGTCGCCTCAAGGACCTGATTAAAAAGCATTCTGAGTTCATTAGCTACCCAATTTCCCTCTGGATTGAGAAGACCACTGAAAAGGAAATTTCTGATGATGAGGATGAGGAAGAGAAGAAGGATGAGGAAGGGAAGGTAGAGGAGGTTGACGAAGAGAAAGAGAAGGAAGAGAAGAAAAAGAAGAAAATCAAGGAAGTGTCCCATGAATGGTCTTTGGTGAACAAACAGAAGCCTATTTGGATGAGGAAGCCAGAGGAGATCACAAAGGAAGAGTATGCAGCTTTCTACAAGAGCCTTACCAACGATTGGGAGGAGCACTTGGCTGTGAAGCACTTTTCAGTTGAGGGCCAATTGGAGTTCAAGGCCGTTCTCTTTGTGCCTAAGAGGGCGCCTTTTGATCTCTTTGACACAAAGAAGAAGCCCAACAACATCAAGCTTTATGTCCGCCGTGTTTTCATAATGGACAACTGTGAGGAGATTATTCCCGAGTATCTGAGCTTTGTTAAGGGTATTGTGGATTCTGAGGACCTTCCTCTGAACATCTCGAGGGAGACATTGCAACAGAACAAAATTCTTAAAGTCATTCGCAAGAACTTGGTGAAGAAGTGCATTGAGCTCATCTTTGAAATTGCTGAGAACAAGGAGGATTACAATAAGTTCTACGAGGCCTTCTCAAAGAACCTCAAGCTTGGCATTCATGAGGATTCCCAGAACAAGACTAAGCTTGCTGAATTGCTTCGATACCACTCCACCAAGAGTGGTGATGAAATGACTAGCTTGAAGGATTATGTGACTAGGATGAAGGAGGGCCAGAATGACATTTATTACATCACTGGTGAGAGCAAGAAGGCCGTGGAGAACTCTCCATTCCTTGAGAGGCTGAAGAAGAAAGGCTATGAGGTGCTCTACATGGTTGATGCTATTGATGAGTATGCAGTGGGACAGCTGAAGGAATTTGAGGGTAAGAAGCTGGTCTCAGCAACCAAGGAAGGTCTGAAACTTGATGAAAGTGAGGATGAGAAGCAGAAAAAGGAGGCTCTAAAAGAGCAGTTTGAGGGTCTTTGCAAGGTGATCAAGGATATATTGGGCGACAAGGTTGAGAAGGTCATGGTGTCTGATCGTGTAGTTGACTCTCCCTGCTGTTTGGTGACTGGGGAGTATGGATGGACTGCCAACATGGAGAGGATCATGAAGGCACAGGCTCTAAGGGACTCGAGCATGGCTGGCTACATGTCAAGCAAGAAGACAATGGAGATCAACCCTGAGAATCCCATAATGGAGGAGCTCAGGAAGAGGGCTGATGCAGACAAGAACGATAAGTCTGTGAAGGACTTGGTTCTCTTGCTGTTTGAGACTGCACTGCTAACTTCTGGCTTTAGCCTTGACGACCCCAACACCTTCGGAAACCGAATCCATAGGATGCTCAAACTTGGTCTGAGCATTGATGAAGAAGCTGGTGAAGCTGATGTAGACATGCCTCCATTGGAGGAAGCGGATGCTGATACCGAGGGGAGCAAGATGGAAGAGGTTGATTAAGCAACAGCTCTGGTGGCTTTTAGTTTTATAATGATTCAAACTTTCTCTACTTGTTTAGGTTTTTATCTTTTTTGTGTTGAAACTGGTGGATTAGATCTGCATTTTTAAATGCCTTTTTTGATGTGGAACTTGTGCAATTGGTACAATCGGCTCTTTAATATCTAAAAATCTAGTCGTTGTTGGTAATTTTTCTTCTAATGGTTGTTTTTGCTTATACGCTTTTTATTTTCAATAATTTCTGGTTCTTCCTGGACTAAAAGGCTTTTTGAGTTTGATCATCATGGTTATACCTTAGATGTCAATTGAATATTAAGTGTTGCTTCTCTCTTCTGATGATGGTGTTATTTTGGTATCGTGAAGTCTTCGCCTGGCTCGAGTAATTAATCCATTGAATTGAAAACTCTACCAAACAAGTTTTAATTAAGAAGAAAGATTATACCTAAATTATACAAGTTTTAAATTATAATACTATTTAATATAAATTATAATATAATAAATATTATAAATTATATAAATTTTAAATTATAATATTATTCTCTATAAATTATCATATAATAAATATTATTAAATATAATGAAAAAAAAAGTAAAATTTTTTTCCTTCATTATTTCTTTTAACATAGGAAATTATAAATTAATTTTCTACTATCCAATATAAAGAAATACACAATTTCTTCCTGAAGAAAGAATTATGTCTCATTTATTTCTTTTAACATAGGAAATTATAAATTAATTTTCTTCTATCCAATATAAGGAAATACACAATCTCTTATAAGGAAATACACAATCTCTTCCGGGAGAAAGAATAAAGAATAATGTCTCATTCGTCCCTTCTTCTATGCCTTTCCTTCGGCATAAGGATTTGGCACTTTCCCTCATCAAATTCCACCACCAATAAACTAATTTGCCTAACAAATTCATGAGGAAATGTAGTTGGAATTATGTACCACAGTTTTGTAGGCCAAGAATTCAGTAAAAGACCCTCCCGACATGGGGAGTTAGAGCAAAGATGTAACTTTATTATCATACCAGGTTGTTTAGACATTAAGGACTCCCTCCAAGTTCTGATATCATTGAAAAGAATTGGCAATCATGACACTTCTTATTATCAATGTAAACATAATAAATAATCTGATGTCTGCAACTACAAGAAAAAAACATCTACTTAAAAACAAATGAAAATTCAATCATAGGATAGTGAAAACACAATCACCAATCTTAGCCAAAAAAAATACCAAATATTATGCAAAAACTTTTTTTTGGGTTTATTACAACTAATAAGACCTAAATGCAGATCCCGAATCAGGTATCTTCAACTCGTGAGTGAAATACGAAGCTTGGAAATGTTGTGGTGATGTCCCTGTTCCAAAAAAAAAAAAAAATAGTAGTTCGGAATATGCCACTAATCAATAAATTTTTAGCTGAATCAAAAGTGAGAAAAATAACATTAATATATCAATTATGTTCAATGAGCCGTACACGCTTGAGCTTTCTCTACTAACCATAGATAGAGACCACTAATCGCAATACATCAAATGAAGGAAAAAAAAATATATATATATATATACATATACTTTGAGGCTAATGCACAATAAGATTGTAGCAAAAATCCCCCAGTTGGTGGTAGTCCATTAGAAGAGGACAAGAGACAGACACTAGCCCGTCTAATGCATGTTCTCAGAGGACAAATAAAAGGAGAATTTTTTTTGACAAGTTTAGAGGCAGAGAAAGCAGTGGTGTATCACCAGGCAAATCAATTCATATATTTATATGCATATACAACAAACAAATATTTCTAGGGATACATATTCGGCATCCGAGGAGGACATGCATTGCTTTTGAAGGGAGTTTATCTATTATAGTTACATAAAAGTATGTTCAGAATTTAGAAGAGTATGAATAGTATGAAGATAGTTCAATTTCTTAAAAACAAAAGCAGAGTATCTGAATCAGTCATCTTCAAACTATCAGATGACGCAGGCCAACAAATTCATGTCCTACTATATATAGATGGCATCAATAAAATGATTTGACAAGGTGTCTCAACCTATCAAATTTAAAAATGATTTTAGTCCTATCATCTCTCTCTGTTATCTAGGGGTGACAATTGGGTGGGTTTGGGCTGATCATGAATGAGCGAGTCTGGAATGGGTCAATAACCCGTTATTAACCCATTTATGATGGGTAATAAATGGGTTAGGTATTAAATGGGCGAGTCAATCAACACCCAACCCGATTACCTGAATAATTTTAAACACAAATTATCAAATTATTTTGGTTGTCGAATACCAAAAAAAAAGAATTGTTCGTGTAGCAGTCTCTCATTCATTCACTCATTTTTTGGTCTTTCAAATTTTGTTTTTTTCCTTTCCCAGATACAATTACTCTGCCAATAATATTAATTATATACATATTTAAAAAAGAAGCTTCAGAACCCAAAAAAACCACCGGCCCAAAGGATAGGGAAAAAGAGGGGAGAGAGAACAATAGAAGAGAGAAAGAGAAAGGGAGGAGAATACGGAGGGGAGAGAATATGGAGGAGAGAATTAGAGAGAGAGGGGAGAGAATATGGAGGAGAGAGAAAAGAGAGGAGCCAGATTATGAGAGTTGAGAGAGAAATTATTAGGTGATCCGGTAATATGTGGTCCGGACAAATCAAAAAAAATTTAGATAAATTTTTGTCTTTCAAATTTCTCTAACACCTCAACTTTTCTCTCTCTACAGATTTGTCTCTCTATAAGTTAATAACTACAATACCAACCCAATACCAACTCACTAAATTTATTACCCATTAATAATTGACCCATTAGTAACCCGCTCAACTAAACCACTCACCCAATAATCATTAATTATTGGGAGGGTATTTGGGTTTGGGTATATTTTGCCGGCCGTACTGTTATCTGTAGTTACCCACAACAATTGCCAGTCACTTTGCATGTGCTACTCCTTGTTTGACACTCACTTTGCATAGCCTGATAGTCTTATGATGATCGCTAATAAAAGAAATTCTTATGATTTAATTAGCAGGATCTGGAGAAGATTTGTCTAACAATGGTAAAGGATGATGTGGAGGTAAAATAGACATGGATGAGAGAGAGAGAACATGTAAAATGCCTGATGATTTAATATAGAGTAAAATGCTGCAAATATTCTTCGGTATCTTAGGAATCAATATTTAGGTAAATCATATATTTTGTACATCTCTGCTCATTTTTTTGAAGCTTGTATTGTCCTTATGATTGAGACTCCAAAATTTTGAAGCTAAGAGTTGCTGAAGGATTACCACTGATTTGTAAATTTGTTACCTTAGGTTAAGAATGTCTCTCAAATATATACAATACCAATTATGTGGTTCTCATCAACTTGCACAATATGATGATTTAGTGTTTTTACAACACTACACTTGACACAGTTAAATGCTTTATATTCATTCCAATCAATAGTAAATTATAAGTTATCAACTAATGGACATTTTATTTTAAATATCATATTTGCAACTTACTTGAGGTATTGAAGGGTCATATTCTTCAAAAGGGATGGATGTCGCAGAACAAGATTTCTCCACTCTTCCTTGTCAATCTTCCCATCGTGTTTTGTATCAGCTTCCTCGAAGGTCTGAAAAATAACCCAAAACCATGGAAACTTTTTTCCTCTTCAAAAAAAAAGAAAAAGAAAAAGAAAAAGAAAAGAAAACACACACACACACACACACACACACTGATAACACTTTACCTGTGATTCTTGCAAAAAACAAATATGAAAAGTCACATGTATTTTTAAACTTCCAGTACAACACTTCAATAAGAAATCAAAATTTGGTACGAAAATTGAGTAATAATCATCTTTTCTATATCTGGAAGTCATATATGCCAGTTATCTTCTTTTTCTCCCTTTGTTTTTAGACTGGCGCATGTTAACTATTCATTAGAAATGATGCAAAATGGTCAAAGCTACTTCCATGCTGATTTTGAGCATGACCCATGAGAAAAAATTTAAGTCAAAAACTTAAAATAATCTAAGAGGTGCAACCTCAACAGGTCAATTACATGCCAAAAAAAGTCACGAGTGACAAATGTTGTAAGCTCAAATTAAAATTTTACACTAGTTTGAGGGTCAAAATTCATATTAGGTACAAGGTGGATTGACCCCCACAACCCCCCCCCCCCCCCCCCCCCCCCCACTAGTTTGAGGGTCAAAATTCATATTAGGTACAAGGTGGATTGACCCCCACAACACCCCCCCCCCACCCACAATTCTCCCTCGTCTTTGCCAAAAGAAGCGGAAAAGGAAAGACGAAGAATGAGGATGCACACATCAAACTTGTAGAATAGAGATCCCTAAGGTTGACATAATTGATACAAATTATGAATAATTTTTATTATAATTAAGCTAGATCAAGAAGCACCTTATCGATGATACTCTCTATAACATCATCTGAAAGATTCATGCCAGATTCAGCGAGGGTAGCCACTACCATTTGCTTAACCTGCATATTCAGAAGTCAATGTAAGATATAAAAATCTGAAAAAAGAGTACAGATATCAAATATGCAAATATTCAGGGAAAAAAAGAAGAATATCTCAAATATGCAAATAAAACAAAGTAATGTGAGATCAAACAACTCAAATAATACCTACGCTTTAATGCTACTCACTTGCGCAAGGATACATGAAGAAATACATCTTGAAAAGTCAGAAACAAAGGTATCGTCTTCCTTACTTTTTTATTCGGAAGGGGTGGAAACCCCACTACTTATATATATATATATATATGTATATGTATGTAAATACCCCGGAAGGAACCCCAAAATGCTTCTATAAGGAAACCCTTAAAAAGCATTATTTAAAAACCCTTGTTTATTGGAATTCGAACTTACCACTTTTTTGCCACGTTCCAAGCACACCACCAGGTCTTTACCACTCACCAGACTCTCCGCCAAAGAAATTAACAGACCAGAAAATAAGGAAACTGATGTTTGAGTAACATCTAAGAGATGGCCATCATATGATCTCTATGATTTATGAAAAAAGAGAGAGTATGTATATGTGACATTGTTTATACCTGTGAAAGCCAATGATTTTATTTTAGCTAGTGCACATGTGAATCATTCAGACATAACCAATTGCTCACATGAGAGTTGTTCAAGTGAGAACCATGTAGTCCTCCAAAATTTCACCTCAATGGTTCCTCCAATTCTTTCAAAGGAAAATTTCTATATAACATACTGGAAAAAACTCAAGGTAGTTCCTTGCATATATGTAACCCATAGTTCCTTGCAATCTTTGATGATACTTCTAATCCAGCAATGAGGTAACCATAACTTACACGAAATCTTGAGAATACAATCCCCAACCAATAAAGTCAAGTAAATATGATCCTCATCTAAGGATATCAGTAAGTTTTTGGTCTTTACAAAGCATAAAAAATATTTTCAACATGATATGTTTAAGAAGTTGATTCATTAATTGTTTCCCTTTATACACAATCATCTGAAACTGTCATTGTTTCTATATAATTGAAAACAAGGCAATGGCAAAATCAAACAATGATTTAAGCAAGCCTCAACAATAATAATGGGGAAGCAGGATTAAGTCAGTCATATGGTATTTACTACATTAGCACTTAAATATCACAAGGAAATAATCCACAAACGTCAACCAAAACTAATCAACTTAAACATTAAAAGTGTTGCGACAAATACTGCGAACCAAGGACACAATCAAGAATCACGACAGAAAAGTAAACACGCCACACACAAAGAACACAAAGATTTACTTGGTTCGGCATAAGCCTACATCCACAGTGAAGATTTGGTGAAATATTTCACTATGAGAAAATCAAGACTCAAGAGATTACGAGTTTCAGCCCCCCAAACCCTAGCTCTCTCTCTCTCTTTCTTGCGGTTTTCAGTGTTCTCCTGTAACACCCCCAAACCCTAAACACCCCTATATACTGGACTACAAGAGAATTCTGAAAAGAAAAAAAAAAGGCAATTTTTCGGGTCGGGCGCAATGCGACTCAGGCTGAAACAAAATTCGGCCACAACATCACAAAAAGTAATAGTGTTCTAACATTTGTAGCTCAACAGCCACAACATAGTTGTACAGATGAAGAAGAATTCCCATCCAGGTTCTAAAAATTTTATTGAAGAAATTTTACAGTTTAACCTTTGAAATTTCAATATTATTTCCATTACAAAAGATAAAACTGAAAAACTTCGGACAAATTAATTAAAATTTCAATAATGACCAAAATTGATGCCGACACCAAGATTTTATAGCTTCAATCAGTTGGTACAGAAAAGTTTTTTTACATTATTCAATTTACACATGATCAACATGGTTCACAATCAATTACTGAACTAAGCGTCAGCTCAAGCATCCAAAAGAAAAAATCACACTTCTTGAACGCCGAGGTTCATACATTAAGCAGTATAAGCATGAATCGTGAACATAATGTTGTGAAAGTTTTGTTCGGTTCAAAAAATTTAACATGGTACTATTTCAGAGGCTTGTTCTATAATTACATGCTTTTAACTTGGCTGATAAGTTGGTCCATTGGTGCTAGGAAAACAATGCTGAGGAATATTTGTCTCAATAAGTATTATACGGTTCCATCACCATTTTATTACATGAATGCGCTGCTGGACTACAATTAAGAAAGATGCAGTTACAAAATAATGTATCTCTCTCTTTATGTGCGTGCATGCGTTGTGTGTATTGTTACAATTGAGGCACTCTTACAGATTTGGTCCCAAATATTGAAATAGATCTTAAAGAATCAATCATTGGCACTCGCTTCAAGAAAGCTGTAAGAAATACTATAATGCTTAAAATACAGAAATTTTAGTTCATTTGGAAATAAACACATATTTTACAAACCTCTAACATGTTTCGGCAATTGAATCAGTTTATGGGACTCAAGTGGCAAAAGGTTTTATTTATGCGCCATGTTTACAAGATTCTAAAGTTACACACAATTTTAAAAGGGAATGCAAGAAGATGTAATTAGATAGTGAATTTAATTGGAATCCAGACAAATTAACTATTGCATTATTTCCATCAAAATATTGTCAAAAGGCTTCCATGCACTGGGTTCCAGAGACGACATAGCTTATATTTGGAACACAAGAATCAACAATGCTATTATAATACTAAAACCAAATCAAAGCAAAAAATGAAGCATCATAAAAACAAAGAAAAATCCGTTCTTCTTGAAGCATAAGGTAAAAAGTCACAATATTATTTTAGCTTAATATTCTGTTTTTCCATCTAATTGATCTAAAACAAGGTAACACAACATATAGCCCAGTAGTTGTATTCTTCCAATCAAAGAATTAAAGAGAAATATCATTGTTTTAATCTCATATGTAAAGTTATTTCAGACTAAGACCAGTAAGAAAAATAGAAAGTGTAGCTCATCAGAGCCAACAGGATGTCCTGGGTATAATTTATTCAGGATACAAACCAATTTACTCGAGAAAATATTAGTTACCTCTTGCCTCTCAATGAAACCTTGTTGCTTGAGATCGTAGAGCTGAAAAGAAACTGCAATACAATGGCATGGGGGTAGTAAAATAGGAGGAACATTCATGTGAAAATATAAGAACAAGATCTTAGGCATTGAACATACACTCAATCTTATCGTCGATTGGGGCATTCGGATGAAATACGGAGAGCGCACGAGCAAACTCTTCAAAACCTAGGATTCCATTATGTTTTGTGTCAAACAAGTCAAATACCTGCAATTAATAAGCAACGGGTAAACAATATCATAAGACGATCGTGTGTAAATTTTTTGAAATATCCAACAAAAAATATGAATTCAGTGACAATAAAATCCATTTCTCAGTACAAACAAGTACACAGGTATTTTACATTTAAATTCTACAGCTCTTCAAACACAGCAACACATGTTTTTACATTTCTACTCCCTAACTCATAAAAAACAGAAGAACACAAGCACATGCCCATCTACATATACGTGTTTATGTAAACACACATGAATATGGAACTGTGAGTTTATAGACAGATATGGGGAAAATTTCATAACACGCGCAGATCTGAAAGTTTATGTTTGATGAAAACACATGGATAAAACACTGATAAGAAAATGTCTACTTAGTTCAATGCTATTAAAAATTGAAACTATTACCAGAGAAACAAATTTAACTGTCAAAAAGAAAGTACCCGATCCGCAAACAAGCTCTCTTTTTTGTTTGTCTTGAATAATGCCAATTGAAATTCTTCCTGCCATATGATATTAAAAGAAAAAGTATCCAAAAGATTAAAGTGAGATTCTGGAGAGGTAACAACACAATGGAATTATATCACTAAATTCATGTGTAGGCGTAGCAGTACTACAATGACAATTGCAACAATGCCTAGCTTAAATAGAACAATTATTTAAGAAGGATAAGGATGAACCTTGTTGATTAGCCCATCATCAATCACCGCACTGCTAATCTTCTTAAAAAGCTCGTAAAGTGCCTCAATTTCACTTACGCTAACTGCATCCAAGTGAGAAAATTATGTTCTTTCTTTTCTTTTCTTTTTTGATGAGAAAGTTATGTTGTTCTTTCACAAGAGAAAACAGGAACTAAGAAGCATCAACATGGGTACAAGATGTGGGCATGACATAATACGTGTGCAACGCGCTGACACTTAAAACAAGCAGAACTCACTCACAGTAATGAAATATAAATTTTTCATGTATAAATATTATATTGGATACATCAAAAAATTAGTTCATGACAACTAAGTCTAATATTCTGTGATTAGTTGAAATTTAGAACTTATAATTAAATGTAATAATAATCACCCTTGCCCACATAGATAAAATCATAACAAGGATATCACATGAGGATGCTTATGTGGTGCATCTACATAGATATGCAGGTATATGTTCACACAATTTGATTAGTCCTCTGTCCTCACCTACCCTTCCACTCCTTTAATAAAATATTTCAACATATTTTGTTTCTTAATACAACCAGGCTTTTAATAAGTTTCAACCAGGCTTTTTATAAGTTTCATATGAACCTTTAATTTAATTTTTTCTTACAATTATCTTTTTTCCATGCTAAAAGAAAGTCAGGTTCACAAGTAACATGTTAACGAGTGTCCAATAAGTGCCGGCCATGTGTCTGAAATGAAGGAATCAATTTCAAAACTACAGACATGTCCAAAATATAACAGCCACGTGTCTAGAGTCTCCAAGAAGTATCAGCATCCAAAGTGTACCCGACACAAACATGTCTCATCTTTAGAAGTGTCTATTCTTCTTAGAATAAGAAACATAAATAAATATCATGAATAAGTACATTATAGAGCTAGTTGGATTAGAAAACAAACTACATAACATCAACAGTTTCTCTCATTCCAAAACTTTTACCCAACACCATGTTAAGAAGTAAAGGAATATGGTTAGTCTTACTTGGACAAATTCCAAAACAAATGGTCTAATTTCAAGAATAACTTTAATTTCCGATAACAAAATAAGTAAATTCAATATTCAATAAAAAAAAGAGTTAATAGAAGGTACAAGCAACAGGTCACCGTTGACAACAGCAGATAATAAATATATAATCACCAATACTATAAAGAAAAATTACAATTAGAAGTACATCACAGCTCATTCCATCCTGTTCTATTGTTTTGTAACTTGAGATTCAAGAGAAAAAAACAAGTCATGAGAATGAAGGCCAACAACATACATGCTGTCTCCCTAGCAAGAACTTCAGGGTCCTCAAGACCTCTCGATTGTCTATACAAATCAAGATCACAACACTGAAGTAGGGGAGCACATAAATGCTTAACACCCTCTAAGCACTGCAACATGGTATTTCCTGCACATCAAAACACTCCATACCTGTTCAAAAAGAGGGTCAGAATATTATTTGGTTAAATCCATGCACAGAAGTACCTAAGTACGGGCAAAACGGAATTACCTGTTGACCATTTCCTGCTTTTGCTAACCCGAATTCAAATGCAAAGGATTGTCAAAATTGGAGCACTTGAAACTATATCTGTGTTCAGAAAATGACTGATAAAAAAAAAATTAATAAAAGAACAAAAAAAAAAAAATAAATAAATAAAAAAATGTGTGTTTAGAAAATGACAATAGAATGTCTATTACTACAAAATTACACACAAATATATGAGTAACGTACTGTTTGGTTTGAAAGGACTGATATTTGTTTTGCTTGTTAATGTGGTTTTCTATATATTTATTCATTTATTTTTGTAGGGCTAGGCGTGGTTTGCTTTAGGGAGCTATAAACCATTTTCTCCCTATTATAGTAAATAAGCAGATATTATGATTGTTTTTCATATCAGTATAGCATGCTGTCTAAAAATAAGCAGCCAATGTATACAGAATATAGAAGAAAACACCTGATAAAGTATCAGTAAAAGTCTTCAATTGATGAGAGAATTTTGCAGCCTGAAAGGAAAATTTTGAGCATGTTGGGCCTTCTTTAGTAATTCGGAATGTTTGAGGCACAATAGGAGTGGACTGTTGCAGATAGGTAGCAGGATTACAACTAACAATATGGCTTACAGAAAAATCCAGGAATGCGACCAACAAGACCCGCGATCAAAGTTAAGCAGGCTTTTTTGTTGAGAAGTAGATGAGTTAATTCATGAAGATTACAACTAAGCTTCATAACAGTAAAAGTACTCTTCAAGAAGGCAGATAACTGGAAGCACATTTGGAATTCCCTGAGCCCTATATTTTACCCAAGCAGAATTATACATGAAAGAATATATAGCCTATATGACTTGGACTCGGGTATGGGTATGTATCCACACGTTGGATGTATCAAATCCCCATACAGAAGGACACATGGACACTGCTAAATACTCAAATTATTTAATATTTTTATTTTATTTTCTAGAGTAAAATAGTGTCTTTCTGTAACATAATGTTTAATATAAGCAGTCCATTCATTTTGAATTAATAATATAATAAAATTGAATTATTTGATGTGCTTTTTAGGTGCATGTCCAACAAAAAGCGTTGGACACAATCCCATACCCATGTCCGAGTATTATGTGTCCGACATGGGTGCTTCACCTACTTTTGAAGAGTCCATGTAATAGAGTATATATTATATAGCAACCATTTCAGGCATCAGTGCTCCTAGGACAAATATCACTTCAATATCCGCAGAGGAAGACATGTTCAATTCTGAAATCCATCTCTCTGGATGGGACATGGTTATCCAGAAATGCTTGGAAACACCAGTCACAAACACTTTCTAATCAAACAGGTTTCCCTAGACTGAGGGTCGAGAATATAACAAGACCTGTACTGCCTGTGGCTAAAAAAAGATTTTCATTCTTCAAAAAATCAGCAAAATCCAAGAATCAAATGCAACTTAAAGACTCACGGGTCTAAATATCACCAGGCACAGATAGTGTCTACTTATATAGTGAAGCTCTTACATTCTTTATAACTCCAGATCTGTGCCCATGATTGAGTCCCTAGGAATGCCATGGCATAAATGGTATCTCAACGGGGCTACCAACTATCATGTAGTATCATTATTTAATTACCCTTTAATCTTGTTTAAAACCTTAAACTTCAATAAGACCTACGCAATTCTAAAGTGCATCATCATATATAAAATTATACAATTTTTAGTTTGTTCGCCTCTAAATTTACCAACTCAGAACCCACAACAAACGCAGAATTCAACCTAAAACCGAGGAGCTATACAGATATCACAATCACTGCCAAATTCCTTCTAGACTCACCCCGAGTTATTCATAGAATGTAAATTAGTTAAAAATATACAAACCTAGACCCCTCGTGCAGAAAACAGAGAGATCTCGACACACAAAACCATCAGAAACAAAGGCCGATCTGAAATATAATTTAATTCTCACAAATTGGACGACAATCAAGGGTACGCGCAGTTATCAAATAAACAACTCAACAAACTTTCAAGCATTCGATTCAACAAAACGATTATCGCGTAGAGATCTAACCGGAAAGAAGATCGAATCTCGGAATGCTTCGATTTGGAAAAGTTGTAAGGAAATTTAGAGAAGAAACTTTAGAGATGTGCTTATATGTGTGTGTGTGTGTGTGTGTGTGTGTGTGTATAACTTACTTTGACAGAATTCGGAGCTGAGATGAGTTTCGGATTCTGCACAGGTCTCTGGTGATATTACACTTCTCGTCTTCTGGTTACCCTAACTCCTAGTAATTCCTAAACAAATCATTATATATAGCTGGTGATTTGAGAGAGAGAGAAATATGTCAGAATCCATTTCTATTTTTTAAATTTTATGTGTAATTAAAAAACCAAAAACTGACAAGTGGTTACACGATGGCATGGGGATGTTGATATTTGGAAGAGAAATCATCAATATTTTTTACTTTTCAAAGTCCAATCAAATTTTAATAACACCTCGCCGATAAGAATTATTTGTTTTATTAGTAGAATTAAGATTTTTTAATTATAATTTTGTTATTAGCAATTGTCAATTTGTAAAAATCAATTGTTATTATTATTTTTTTTTTGGTAAATATGGTTTAGTCTATTTTTAACATTTTCAAAATCATATACTCCTTATATTTTTTATTGAACTTTTTTTTGGTAGTATTTTCCTTAATTTTTTTGTGTGTACTAGAACTTTTAATGGTAGTGTTAATTTTTTTTTGTGTGTGTATATAAAGTGAAACTAAAAATTGTGGACTGATGGATGGCAACGTGGAGTTTGTAAAGGGTATGTTTGTCAAATTCCAAACTCTGAGAAGTTGACTGACTACATTTTTGCTTTTATCTTTTTCTCTTATTGCTTTTCAAGAAAAAAAAAAAAAAAAAAAAAAAAAAAAAAAAAAAAGTGAGCATATTTTTTGCCCCATTTCATTTTATTTGATGCGAAAATGATCTCTAACTAATGATTTTCATATTAAACAAAATGAGTTATTTTTTTATTGTTATTATTGTTTTTTTATTTCTAAATTAATGTCCAATTATAGGTGGTAAAATGTTACGTATTTGTCATTTTTTTAATTTTTTATTTTTGTCAAACATCTTAGAACACCTCGTAATTCATTATTGGACATATATAATTCTTAGTCATTAATTTTAACAATATTTTGCGCAAAAGATGTCAAATCACTTAGGGCAAATTGCATAAAACCCCATTTTACTTTTAATTTTTGGCAATAAAACCTCATTGAGGAGGCCCGATATGACATGGGCTAGGTGTGACTTGCAAACGCGGCATTGAGTCCGTACAGGTGGGTCAGGCCCATAAAAAGGCATTACCATATGGGCCGAACGCGCATAGGCCCATCAAAGAGGACCGGGACTCATGGAGGAACGGGCCTAGATCCAGCAGTCCATCAATATTTGTAAACCTCTATAAATAGGAGGAGTAAGGTAAAGAAAAGGGTATCTTTTTGGGGGTTGAGAGAAAGGAATACTAGAGAGAGAGAGTGGAGAAAGAATTTCTTGTATCTTCAATTGGCGCCGTCTGTGGGAAACGCATGGAAGTTTGGTTGATCAATGAGGAATATCGAGTAGATTCAGACCAATTCGGTTGATCGAGACTCGATCTTTGGGAGTTGGATCTAGATCTGAACGATTGTGACTTACTCTGGAGGAATTTCAGTTCTTGAAGCTTTGGCAAAAATGGCTTCAGATCTACGCAACAACGAGTTGTTCGATTGTGGCAGGATCTGACGGATTTAGAGTTCAGACAATTCAGATCTCGTCAACGGTGAGCATAATTCGGAGAATTCGAAACCAGAACTGAAAAATTCCCACTCGCGGAGCTCGGATCTACTCGCGAACTTGAGATTAATGCCTTTACTCCGTTCAGGAATAATGATAGGTGAAAGCTCCAATCCGATGGAGGCTGTCCAGCAAACAAAGCTTGAGGAGTTGATGAACTTGATTGAAGCTCTCAAAAAAGAGAATGCAGAATTGAAAGCTGGAATGCAACATCAGCAAATACCTGCGGTTTCGCATCCACTTCCGGTCGGTGAAGGAGGTGTTCAATCTAATATCGCGCGTCAAGGTGAGCAGGACGAGAACAATCAATCAGCTCAACCACCGTGATGAAAGGATGATGGACAATTTGCCGCCAAATGTTCGTCGAGTTGAGGATCACGAAGGATCGACTCACGTTGATCCGCGACATGAGCAGATTAGACGGAATGAAGTCATAACCTTCGATCCACATCGGGAAAGGTTCGACCGAGAGGAAGTGATAGAGGTTGATCGCCGTCGAGTAGCGTCGCCTTGGCAAAGAGAGTTCATAGAGGAACGGTCGTTCGATCCGTCTTACCGGCCCTCCATGGCTACTATCACTTATCGCGGTTCGGAGGGCAGAACCGTAACTCACAGAGCTACCGCTGGACTCCAGAGAGAGAATGAAGCCCTCCGATCTGCAGATCGGACGGTTGATTCACCATTCACCGACGAGATCTTGAATGCCCCGCATCCAAGGAAGTTTGCTATGCCAGTCTTTATTCTATTTGACGGAACAACCGATCCGATCGATCATGTGTACCATATCCAGTTGAAAATGGCCCTGAATACGGAAAACGACTCTTTAATGTGCAAATGTTTCCCTACAAGCCTAGTCGGACCGGCGCTCAGCTGGTTCAAAAACTTGCCTAGGAGCTCCATTGGTAGCTTCAGAAACCTGTGCGATCGGTTCATAAGCCAGTACTATGGGAACAAGCGTTCGCCGAAGGACATCTCGAGCCTATTCACGATGAGGCAGCACAAAGATGAACGTCTCCAGGCTTTTCTCACCAGGTTCAATCTCACTAAGAGTATGGTGATCGAATGCCACCCTTCTACAGCGGTTCAAGCCTTCAAGTTAGCCATGACACGTGGAACTCCGTTTCACACCAGTCTGGTAGTGAACACGCCGACGACTATGGATAAACTCAATGAAAGAGCCGATGGCTTTGTGCGCCTAGAAGAAGAGGAGGCAGCTAATGCTCGGACAGCGTCGCTCGTGTCGACCGAGGAAAAGTCCAAGGCAAAGATCAGGCAGAAGCAGGCTCAGCCGCAACGTCAGACCTCCTGGAAGGCAGAAAAAAGGTCCAGGGAGGAAGAGCTGATTACTCCGCTGAAGGTCACTCTGGCGAGGCTATATCAGGAGAACAAAGATAAGTTTCATCCACCACTGCCAATTAGGCAACCCCTCGAGCAGAGGGATCAGACTAAACATTGTGCTTTCCATTCCGATTTCGGTCATCAGACTAACGAATGCAGGAACTTGAGGAGGCAAGTGGAGATGTTGATAGCTAGAGGGGAGTTCGCGAGTTATGTTCAAGGCTCGGCGATAGAGCAGAATCGACCGGTGGAACAAATAAAAAGGAGTCATAAACAAAGCACCCACAATTCACAACCAGTTCGTATTATCAATGCTATCCATGGTCGACCCGAGCCTAGTGAAGAGTCAGATGAGCTACTCCGAGCGCGCCTACGGCAGGCGCAGATGAAGAAAAGGGTCAGCAGTGTGAATACTCTACACTAGCAGATCCCGTCGATGCAGATAAAGTTCGACTGGACAGACCTGCAGCGTGTTCAACTGCCCCATGAAGACCCGTTGGTAGTCAGTTTGACAGTGGCGGACTGCTTGGTGCGCAGAGTTCTGATCGATCCTGGGAGCAGTGCGAATGTCATGCCGAGGGACACATTTGATCGGCTCGAGATTAAACCAGAGAGGCTCAAGCCCACTGGAAATCCCCTGTTAGGGTTCGATGGCAAGAGGGTGGAGCCTGTCGGGATGGTGGAAGTAGAAGTTCAAGCTGCAGAACGAGCTCTTATGGAAACTTTTGTGGTTGTAGAAATTCACCCCTCGTATAATCTCCTGATGGGAAGAGGATGGATTCACAGAGTCCAAGGTGTACCCTCAACTCTGCATCAGGTCATGAGGTGCCTCGGACCCGATGGAGATAAAGTGATAGACATCCGGGGGGATCAGGTTGCAGCCAAAGAGTGTTATTCCGTCACACTAAAGTATGCTTGGAAAGGGAAGGCGTCCGTCCGTTCGGCAAGCCCCAGATAGCAATTACAGGAACCTCCGCCCGAGCGGAACAGGGTGGAGGAGTCAGTTGACTTGATCGAAGAGCCCCTTCTGGATGTGCAGATTGATCAGTCCAGGCCAGAACGAACTACCAGAGTGGGAACAAGACTGACCAGAGAAGAACAGCAAGAGCTAGTGGACTTCTTGTCCCACAATGCCGACGTATTTGCATGGAGTCACCTAGACATGCCTAGAATTAATCCCTCCGTATCCTGTCATTCCCTGAATGTCAATCCCAAGTTCAAACCAGTGAAACAGAAGCAACGAAGATTTGCTCCAGAACGCAATCAAATCATAGCGGAAGAAGTTGATAGGCTGCTTGATGCGGGATTTATCAGAGAAGTACGCTACCCTGATTGGTTGTCCAACGTCGTTGTCGTACAGAAGAAGAATGGGAAATGGCGAGTATGCATTGATTTCACCAATTTGAACAAAGCCTGTCCGAAGGACAGCTTCCCGCTGCCTAAGATTGATCAAATGGTGGACGCCACAACCGGGTATGAGCGTTTGACCTTTCTGGACGCTTATTCAGGTTATAATCAGATCCCTATGGACCCCGCGGATGAAGAAAAAACTTCTTTTGTAACCGAGCGAGGAACATACTGCTACAAAGTTATGCCTTTCGGACTAAAGAATGCGGGAGCAACCTATCAAAGACTTGTTAGCAAGATTTTCAAGAATCAAATAGGAAAGATTGTGGAAGCCTATATTGATGATATGGTGGTAAAGAGCAGGAAGAAGGATGATCATCTGAGACATCTGCAAGATGTATTTGATGTATTAAAGCGATACGGGATGAGGCTCAACCCAACCAAGTGCTCGTTCGGTGTGAGTTCCGGTCAGTTTTTGGGACACGTGGTCAATCGCAGAGGCATCGAAGTTAGCCCCGCTCAAGCAGAGGCTTTGATTAAGAATACCGAGCCAAAGACGATCAGAGAAGTGCAAGCCCTCACAGGACGAATAGCCGCATTAAGTCGATTCATTTCGAAACTGTCAGATCGCTGCAAGCCGTTCTTTGACACGATTCGGAGCCATGGAAGACGGGTCTGGGGGGATGAGCAACGGCAAACATTGACCCATTTGAAGGAATATATGCAGAATCCACCAATCCTGTCAGCCCCGGATCCAGAAGAAAAACTATTTCTATACCTTGGAGTATCTGGTGTCGCGACAAGTGCCGTTCTGATTCGTTGTAAGGAAGGG